ATACATAAGTCACTCCTCCACACACACACCAAAATGGTGGACAACCTGACCCCACTCCATTTTGGTTACATTGGTATCCTTATCCCCAGCTATGCAGGTGACCCTCACTATCTACCTGCCTGTATTTCTCTAATTCACAGAACCTACACCTCCCTCAGTCTCTGGAAGTCTACTAGGTCCTGCCAGCAGCAACATATGAAAGCACATCTGAGCTTGCAGCCATCAGAACTTCAGAACCCATCTACAGTACTACAAGTCTCCAAAACAAATGCCATCTGCCTTAATGTACACAGAGCTTTCCCAGGCAGTATGCCTTGGCAGTATCATGGGGCCCACAAAGCTTTTTTGTCCACACACCTCCCTTGCAGCCTATGGGAGTTTCCTGGGCAGTATGCCTTCATAGTATCGTAAGCCCAGTAAAACACAAAACAGAAGCCTAAACTCTTTGAGCTCAGACTAACTTCCTTAGTCCCACTCCATAACATAGCTGTGCAGCTAGTCTGCTCACCAGCTCCTCTCTTTGAGACCAGAGTTTTTCACAAGACCCGCTTAAAAAAACTCTTTCCCCTGTGCCTTGTGTCTGGGTTCAGTCACTCACTATAAATTACTCCATTCTCTTCTCTCCCTCTGAGGCCCACACTATCCCCAATGACCTTGGCCACATCACACTTAGAGTGGTCATGACTCCTGCTCTACTTCTTCCATCCTCTTCTTTTCAACCCTCTTCTGATCTATGACTGAACCTGGTGATTATCGGCCAACTACGCCATAATTATATGGGTGTCATGAATATATATAGTTACCCAAACACATAGGAAATTTGTAGATGACTACATCACTTTTTCTGCCTAAACAGGTTGTTTGTATCTCCCAGAATCACCAGTGCAAACAGTCATACTACTATAATAATTGCCCTTTTTATTACTCTTAGTGTAATAAACCTAGCACACAGAACACACATAAAAACAAGAATTAAATTCATACTCCCCAGTAAACCATCCCAAAAGTCCCAAAAGAAAGGAAATAAAGAGTCCAAAGGCAATACCTTCCTGAAATAGCTCTGTCCTGTATTCTAGCATGCTTTCTTCCACCATAGCAAAGAAAAGCACAAAACGCCATCTAGTCCTTTGGTTCTGCCGAAGCGATCTCTCCAGTAATGGCATTCCTGAATAATGTGGTCCATTATGCTCCCAACAACCTGTTTCTGTGATTCCAACACATGGCTGAGGGAACACATGGACTAGATGATTCCTAGTCCATCCTCTGCTGCTCTCTGTAGAGTCCCCCTCAGATGTACGAGTCCTCTCCTGTGTCAAGTATATTAATCTGTGTTCCCCCACATTCTCCATTTTCATGTCCTTCTGACAGAAGATCATAAAGCTGCTTCCTGGCCAGAGCTCAGGACTCGAAATGAAGGGTGGAAGTGTTCTGGTGATGTCTTGGGTGTAGGCAGAGCTATCAGCCGGGGCTACTTAAAGAACTGAGTGTATGTAGATTTCCAGGTGTAACATACATTGCCTACTCTTTCCTGCTCTGGAGTCCCCTCCCAGTCTCAGGCTTAGTTTAGTCTGTCCTGCAGTCCCACATGTCACCTCTGAACTCTGTGGTAATTGATGGACATGTGTTCACACAGTGTGTCAGTCAAACTTTCTTAATCAGCGCCTGCCCCATTGTTTGCACCCAGAAGGCAAGAAGACCTTGATGCTGCCCCCCAGTCCTTGCTGATGTGAACTATAACAGAATGCTGCCCCCACAGAGTTTGACAGTAGGAGTGGTGATAAGTGATGCACCATTTTAGGTTTGCATCAGCTTTGTAGTTTGGCAAAAACGTTACAAGTTTGTCTTGTTTGACCAAAAGAACTTGTTCCACATGTTAATAGTATCACTTGTGTTTTGTTACAAACCCCATGCTGGATTTAAATGGGTTTTTTTTTCAGTTCCATACAAGTTCCCTTTGTGAAGTGACAGGGATATAATTGACCTCTGAATGTTTTCTCTCATTGCAACTAGTTAACTCAGAAACAGAAACCAGAAACATTTCAATTTTGTTGTTTCTTACCACAAAACCTCTTGCCACATGTTTGCAGTATCACTTAAATGCTTTGTAACAAACTCCATGTGGAATTTGAGACTACATTATTTTCAATAAATAAAAGTCAGCTTTATACAATGTCCGGGATATTGTTGATTCATGGGTGTTTTCTCTCTTCTCAGCCACCGAGCTCTGTAATACTCTGCAATTCAAAGTCACCATTAGCTTCACAATGCTCACATCCCTAAGCTGTTATCTCCTTGCTCAGCCACTCAGTTTGGAGGGAGAGTCTGATCTAGGCAGTGTCTCAGTGCCTTTCACTTCTATATGGTTGTCTTGTTTAAAGAGATATTTAAACAAGTGCTTTGATACCCTTCTCCTAATCTGCACCTTTATACAACCTTATCCCTTAAGTATTTAGTAACTCCATGGTTTTCATGGTTAAATAGTTAAGTCTTTGATTGAAATTCATTACTTAACTAACTGACCATACAGAGACAGGTGTATTCATTCAGAATTCAAGGGAACCACTATTATTACACAGAGATAGAAGCTGCTCAGCTAATGTAATGGTTTCTTATGGTAATTTTGTGCACCAAACTGAAATGGTATTTCTTAATTGATGTTTGAGAGGGATCCAAGCAAGCCAATTTTACCCAGTTGTTCCTCATCATAACCACTCCATCTTTAGCTGTATATACTTCACACAAAACACCTTTTTTTTCATTCTGTTTCATGCATTCCACCTCATTTCTACTTCAACTCCATCTTTGCTACTACAGCTTGGTTAATATCTCTCTCTTTGCAATCATGATATTTCTGTCTTCCTTTTGTATTAATTAAGCTTTCTCTTCTTCGCATTTTATCTGTAGATAAGGTTGTGAATGTAGCAAATATGAATTGCTACTTCAAAATGTCATGAGACTGCAAGCTTTAAACCAGCAAAATGTATAAAGTGTGCAAGGGTCTTAGTACTTTCGCAAGGCACTGTGAGTAGCATGAATATGTGTGTAATGAGTGGTCAATGTACCGCCACACAGTCAGATTGGCATCAGTCACTAAGTGGTGGTCTCTTTATATTTATGGCCCTATTGTAAAAAGAACATGTTTACCTGCAATGTCTTATCGGATTTTTCACCAACCTTGACATTCAACAGGTTAATTCACCTCCTCAATGGACTCTAATCAATTCTGTCATTAAAGTGGTGACGTAGTGCTTCTGCACAGGTCAGTCTCTCAGGTGAATAAAAAAATATTCAAAATAATGCCAAAAATAAGTTATTTTTTTAATGTACTTTTATATAAAATAAAAAATACTTGCATTAATAAAGTTTTGAGTTTTTATGCTCTGTATGTTTATTTTCTCAACAGTTACCAATGTGTTTACTGGTATGTGTTGGATAAGCTACTCTTGATAAATAGACTTTGTTATGAAATATCATATTTTTCTTTGGCACCTGTCAAAGAAATTGTTAATTCATGAAAACTAATTAAACTGGGCAGCACAGTGGCATGGCAGTTAGTGCTGCTGCCTAACCACACTTTGGTTCTGGGTTTGATTCCAGGCAGGAGCCCTGTTCGTGTGGAGTTTGCATGTTTGCATACCCCCCTTGTGTTGGTGTCTTTAACCTCCACACCTCTGTGGGTGTCTCCTGCAATGGACTGGCATCCTGTTCATTGTGTGGTCCCTTCTTGCACCATCGGCCTCTGAGACAGGATTGCCTCCACCATCAAGGTACATAAGCAGATTTTTGTTTTGAAGGCATCTGTTTTTTTCTATTGATGCTTTCTCCCTATACTTCAGCAAAAAGGATTCTCAGTCAATATTAGCTTATAATATTAAAATACTGGAATTTTATTCTTCTCTTTCCCATAAAAAAATGAGTATATTATATATATACTGTGTAATCATAAATAGTTTTCATGGATTAAAAAAAATATATAAATTATGTATTACATCCTGTAATAAATAGATGCTTTGTTCAAATTCTACAATAACATGTGATGATATGTCATTCTCTCCACAGTTTACAGACAGCGCCAAGTCTGTTTGTGAAAGAGCTCCCTTTATTACTCTACCCTACTGTGTGGACGTACATGCATCCATTGGGTAATTTTCAGTGATCTCTAGATAACACTGCAAAAGACTGCAGGGCAGTCTACTGAAGTCAAATGTATAAAGAAAACATTTTCCTGTATTTTGAATAATAAACTGCCATTTCACAGAAGAACGTAAATGTGTAGACATTTACCAGAGAAATGGTACAATTGATTTATTACAGTTTGTTCCTTCAAAAATACATCAGACCCCAAAAAAGCTTAGTCTTGCCTTCACAAAGTCAATGGGAATTCTAGATTTCTATCCAGTAAATGATCTTCTGCAGTTTGTGAAGCATGTTATTTTGATCTCCCAAGGCTGGTCATGGTGAAGTTAAAATTGAGCAGTAGTCTCCCTCTAGCGGCAGCAGTTTTCAATTCCTGAGTGTCCTGCATGTCATTTTCCATTTCCGTAATGAACAGATAATCCTGGTTTACTTACAAATGTTGTCTGGCGCACTGTACTTTTGATAACCAATTTTCCATAATGTTTCTCGTGGAATTGTGCTTCACTGTAATTAGAACGCAATTTCCCATACCTTTGTATTTTATACTTTTTTTACAAACAACAATGGAAAATGTCAAGTAATCACAAAAAACTTAGGAAGTGAGGGTGATGCATTGGTGGGCCAGACACCCAGAAATTCCTGTTTGGTATCCTCAATAACCAAACTTTTATCCCAGAGACTGAAGAACATGCACCCTTCAGATGAAAAAATGAGGACGCCTAAAACACCACAGCCCTGAATTGAAAGCATTACAGAGTTATGTTTGGTCCCATAAAATAATGTACTGGCCACCCCAACATCAAATTCTAAAACTTAATCACTTTTAATACAGACTACAATAAATGAGTCTAAAGCAGACAAAATTGATCTGGTAAAGCTTTTAATTCTATGTCCTGTTGTGAATATTTCTTGAGGTGAAACAACATTTTAAATTTTCATGTTCTGCAGAGAAGGACCATAAAGTCTGCCTTATCATTGTTTCATCCTTTATTTTAAACTGCCTTTAGAAAACTGCTAGACTGTACCAAATGAAGAGTCTGTAAACTGTAATAAGCATCCCATTGAATTTATTTTCATCCATGTTTTATTTCTTCTCACCTTCAATAGATCTAGTTTCCTTACAGTTAACGTTAGGTTAATCGAGTTAGAATTAACTAAATGATTTAGGATATTCCCATTTTATATTTTTGTTAACTCAGGTTTTGTGCTGGGGCTCCGTGTTCTCTGTAGGGGTCATATTTGCCATCGCCCCGGGTCTGTCAGGAATCGTCTGCCCTTCGTTGCTAGGGTTTGCTGTAACGAAGCTCCAGTGGTTAACCTCACGCTCGGCCTTGTGGGAATCCAGAAAGGTCTGAGCTGTGACTTCATATTCTTTTCCGTAAGGTGTCCTGTGAAAAAGGGGTACCCCTGTTTTATGTTGTGTCAAGAGTTATGGTCATCAGCCAACCCAACAGGGGTTCATTTTGATCAGAGGACTAATCCCTCCCCCTTTCCAGATAAAAATAAACCGAGCTTGATGGGAGGACAAGCACCCCCTTTAAACTCAACACTGTTATTGACATTGTGATTTAATGTATGAATGAAAGGGTCATATAAATTACCATAGTAAATAGCCCCCCCAAAGATTTGCCTAGGAGAGTGCTGCTGTTATTTGGACATAACAATGGACTTTATAGAGTTTCTTCTACAGCCTAAGCTAATAAAGTTTAACCACAAACAGATATCGGTGTCCTTCAGTGTGACTATAAGACAGAACCTGGACATTTTTTCTAAACACGCGTATATGATACATTCTTCTTTTTTGCATTTCTGAAAATAAATTACCTATATGAATCATTTGCTTGTTTCAGCTTACCATATGATATAATTTCTGAGGGCGGCTAAACATTGATTTGTCTTGCAATGACTGATAAGCACTTTTGAATTCGCCTGTGAATAACAAAAAGAAAAAAAACATACGCTTTGACAGAAACTCATATATTACTCCAAATAATAATAATAAACTTTATTTTATATAGAGCCTAGGAGCAGACATAACACTGGTTAAGTTAAAGCCATGTTGAAGGGCATTAGGCTTATCTTAAGGCCTTCCTATTGTGCAAATAGGCCAATACATCTTATATCACCTCAGTACAATGGGATGATCTCTCATATGCATAAGCGTGTAATTTGTATTATTTGATAGTTTTTACATAGTTGCGAGTTTGCATTTGAAAGCTGTGGAGGACAGCCACTGACTTCAAGAGCTAGCAATCAGTGAACAGGAAATGGACACAGATATGCTACTGTATTTGCTGGCATGTTGGCTGAAGAGGACACTACCAGCACACAGCAATTACAAGACTTTTTGAGTGTTGCCAACAGACAGGAAGACCTGGAGCCCAATTTTCTCCCCTCAGCCCAGAGGTACGATGGTTGACATGTGATGTGTTGTCACAGTGACATGGCTTCAGCTGAGGCTGGAAAATCATCTGCTCTCACAGAATCTGACCCCCAGGAATTGTTAACCAGTACTATTACTTAGGTACTGAAGTTCATAGCTTTTTAATCAGAGTCAAACTGTTCCCTGATAAGTAATTAAATAAAGCGGAGATAATCTGAAGCATTAAAATAAGAGTAATGTGATGTATATGCCCTTGAATGAAGACAACAAGATCAAGCTGAATTGGTAAATAACACAACAAAGTCTTACTGGCACAGGGAATCCTTCATATTCAATGCGCTCTTGAGGGTCGTAGTATACTGCCTGCCACCACGTCAGGAATGAGGGCTCATCGGTCAGGATCACCTCTTGTAGTCTGGATTTCTTTGCACATTTTTGGAATGTTTTATGATCACTTGCTAAATATAACTGCCAAAGAAGGAACAGAGAGAGAGGAGGAAATTGATTTACAGTTTGACAGGTATGGTGAGTGATCAGACTTGTTTACTCACCTTCAATCAATATGCAGTTAATGTCATTCTGGAACTGTATATACGCCATACTGATTTTCTTAAAATAAAGCTTTCACTTCAACCATGAACATAAAGTAATGTAAGTAGTTGTTTTTATTAAATATCTGAGAATACAATGAAACTCACTTCTCCTGCAAAGCCTTTTGTGGTTTGAAGAGAAAAGCTCTGATTGTATCTCAGGGGCTCTCCTACGGGACTCCCGTCCACACTGGTCAAGTGAGAAAAAAATAAGCAGAATGAATTAGGTCAATTGTCTTTCATGCATGGCTTTGTTTTCCACGCACTCGTGACTGGGCTCTCACCTCGTGATCACAAACGCGTTCCTTACGCAAGGTGTCAGGCTCCTGCTGGCGCTGACTTCGCAGGGCGCGCAGACAAAGGAGGCCCCGCGGAGCTCGCTCGCATCCGTGTTCATGCCGAGCGCTGCTGGCTCGCAAGGGGAGTCCAGGCTGGCGGAGTCCGGGTTCACCAGCATTATCACGTCCCCAAAGTGAACCAGCCCGTCGTTCGTCACTGACAAGTCGATCTGCAAGGGGACAGAGGACTCGGCTGTTCTCGCAGTCTAGGAAAAACGTCGCTTGGACAGTTAAACAATAACACTTAGCCCCTTAGCCTCACTTACTGTGAGGATACTATAGGAAAGGCGTTTGATCAATCAAACTTATAATGAAATGACATGTAGCAGGCGTTTGTCAGATTATAAATGATCTGCAAGATTATTAAAATTGGCACCATTTACAATAATCAGCCAAGCCCCCATAATAGTGTGATACAATCAGACAATCAGTTTTGTTGTTACTGAACTGTTCAATGCACAGTTGTAGATACTCCCTTCACAGCGAAGGTCTGGTAGCAGTGTGCTGTACTGCGATCCCTACAGTAGACGTTCGTCAAGGGCAACAGGTTTAAGCAGAAGTTCCCTGTCTGTTCTCGCATTTTTGTATCCTGTTCCTGATAGATTTAGCAAGAGTGTGAGCAGATTCACGATGCGGACAGGTGGAACCCTCCGAATCCCAGGAAAAGAAGCTGAAACTTCAGGATTGGCATTAACACATCACTTAGCATCCTCACATCCCTATCATCTTCATCATCATCATCAATAATAATTTATAATAATGGTGTTAAAGAGAAACACAACCTGACAGCACCTTCTTCAGAATATTCTGCCTCAGGAACCCTGTTCTCTGGACAATCAGTTCTCCTTTTTCCTTCTTGTCTAAGAAATCCTTCAGAGTGTCCTATGAAACAACAATTTTGAGACAGTTATATTAAATACAAGTCCAATGTTATTACAGACACAAATAGGTGAAGACAATCTTAGGAAAATAAGGGACGACTTGCAGATGATTGGGACAGCTGTACTGTATAGACACCTTTCCATTATTTCCCTTAGGGCACAAAAATAAATAAGCAGGCCTTCATACCCCACATTTAAGTATGAAATTAATTTTCCTCTTTCAGATTTTAATCTGATGACTTCATGAAATGATTATTTAAAGCCTGTACGATCTTAAGTTCACCTGTCCAGTGACTGTAATTTTTCTTTAGCGATTTGAGCAAACTGGTTGATACAGCCAAGGCGACAGACATACGGAAGTCCTTTGTGTCCGAGTATTAACGGGGTCGCGGATATTCGACACCAATGGGTGCCAGACCTGGATAAACCCTGTCTTTCCTGGATTGTACTGCAGCCGGTTTCTTATTCACACGTTGACATTGATTTTATATTCGTAGCATGTACGTTTTTTTTTAATCAGTTCAATTCTGTACATTTTGAATGAAACTTGCAATTGGTACCGTATCACCCCTCTGCCATTTCTAAACTGCTGCTGAGCTTTACTCAGCCCGGGTTAACCGAGGACCTGGAAAGCTCCTGGACACCGCAGAGCTCGGTCTTCTCCGCTGACAGGTTTGAATGCAGCCTTACCTCTTCAAGGGTCACATCTTCACTCCAGTTCCCGACCCGAACCCTGGCGCTGTACGTTCTCACGCTCATGGCGGAGGTAAAACCAGGTGCAGACGCGAGCTGTGTCCGTGTCTCCGTAGCGCCCTGTAGCCTCTGGAGGCTCAGCTTTGTTTACACGCTTCCATGGTTACGGCTGTGACGTACCTGCGGCGCGACAATACTGTAGTACCTTATGAAACTTCTATTGACAAGGAAAGTCACTTATATTTCTATGAATATGAAGTCAGTTTTTATATCACAAAATCCGATTTATTACCATATTTGACTAGTGTGGGAGTACAGTATAATAAATAGTACGTGTATTTATCCTACTAATTTATTAAATTTCATTACGTCATTCATTGGCCTACTGTACTAATAATCCCCATCTATAAATTTGCCCTCATCAGCCTGTTCTCGTCCCCACTCATAACTGATGTGAGTTACTAGCGCACTATGACTGTCGTCGCATCATCCAGGTGGGTGCTGCACATCGGTGTTGGAGGGGAGTCCCCATTACCTGTAAAGTGTTTTGATTTGAGTGTCCTTTAAGTGAAAGGAATTATTTCCTCGCCATTAGCTAGCTGAACAGGAACTGTTGCATTGAAACTACTGAGCACAAGTACCTAACCTGTTGATGTGGAGAGAAAGAGAAATTTACACTTCGACGATGTGCACAGCTTACACAGTGTGACCGTAAAATTAACAAGTCTGGTTAAAATCTCTACAACAAAATATAGCTGAGTAACTAACTTTCGAAAACACCGATACCGTTTTAGGAAATCAGTCGGTAGCTTTAGAATTATTTTTACAGCTTCTTCCTTGACAATGCAAATATCTGCAAATAAAATCGTATCTCTGTCCCTCTGAAAACAAACATGACTCCCAAGGCCGTCACCCAAAACACACACAGACATATTAATATCTGCAAATTTTAGTTTTCAGTCCTAAACCATTTTTTTTTTGTAAATCAATCAAGAATTTGACGAGCAAATTAAAGACTTCTCTAGAGTGTGCTGCCCTCTGCTGTGACTAAAGCAGAACTACATGGGGTGGAACAAGGTCTACCTATGACAGAATATTTGAAAAACTGAATGTAATTTATATACAGCAGTTCATGTGGGTAGCTGCGTCACCATACGTAGGCTGTAAAGGTACACTCGAAGAAGGCTCCACAGACGAAACACTGTTTTCTTTCTTCTCTTTTCAGCATGGAATAAACCTATTGCTTGTTCATTTACATACAGCTATGATTTTAAACATATTTACCAATAATCGGTATTTTAAGGGTTTTATTACTGGTTAAAAAAATTCAACAAAACAACTACAGTCTTTTTTCATCTCAGTTTACACACACACACATATATATAAATTGAGAAAAGAAAGAGGAATTTAAAAACTTTTGTGGTCCTTACTCTATAGGTGCTTTGACCAATTATCTACAACTGTCTTCATATGTGCAAAACCCTTAATACAATGAACCACACTACTCAAACCAAGAGTAAAATTCTATAACTAGCACAAAATCTAAAATCTAATCAAAATCTAAATGTACTGAATTCAGCCAACTTCATTATTTATACTGTAAATGTAAGTAACTGTATTAAAACAGTAAATACTGTGCATTTTCCTTTTTGATGATTCAATCAAATAAAAAACAAGTCATGTTAAATAGGTTTTCGATAAAATCATAAGCTGGCCCTGGGGTGTGTGTGTGTGTGTGTGTGTGTGTTTGCCCTGCAATGGACTGGCGTCCTGTCCTGGGTGTATCCTAAGTTGTGCCTGTTGATTGCGGAGATAGGCTCTGGTTTACGACCCTGAATAGGACGCCAGTCCATCTCAGTATTGTGCTGTCTTGATGATTGATTTTGTGACCCAGTAGTGTCAAATGGAAATGAGTACGTGTGTAAACAATCTTTAGTGTGATTGAATGATGCATGGCAGGCATTTTTGAGTGTGTTCTAAACGTGGTCTAGACATCTTTAAGAAACTGACTAGATGATTAAATGTTTTACAATCTGGTAATTAAACATGGTGAACTGCGTCTACAGCCTTGAACTCTGCAACTCAGTTTGGTTCATTGTATTAAGAGTTTTCCAGTGGGCATCCCATCCAATGTGTATCCTGCCTTTCACCCATTGCTTACTGGGACAGGCCCTAGCTCCACCACGATCCTGAATTAAATGAAGCAGTTAGAAAATGAATGAATGAATGGATGGAAGGATGGTTTGAGGTCTGGAAATTGTGATATCCAATCAGGAACCTTATTTTCAGTTTCCTTAACTATTTGGCAGTTGGTTTGGAGGTGTGCTTTGAAGTGTTATATCCTGCTAGAGCTTTTTAGAATACAATACCAGGCCTTAAGATAGTATAATATCCCAAATATACGTATGATATGTGCAATGGGGCTCAGTCTCTCTTTTGAATTTATGAATCTGTCCATCTCTCTATTCTAGCTAGGCCACCAGGACCAGAGGGAACACAACAGTCCCATGTCCATATTTCATAGGGGGATGACATTCTTTTTCAACATGAACTTTATCTTTCTGTGTAATTCATATAGCTAGTAGCTGCCATTCGGTGTAAGTTACCCTCTCGAACTAGTCTTCTGAACTCATATTTGAATAACATTATTATGTCATCTGCCTGATGTCATTGTACTGATCCCATGACCTTGAGCCTGTGGGTGATCGACATCACAATTTTAAATGGTTTGTTTTATGGATTATCTACCTATATTTACACCTGCTGGAGTTTCTTAGATTGATAATCTATACCTTAGATCTTTAGACAAGATGACATTCCCAATAATGATGTGTTTTGCTTCTGATTTGATCTTCCTTATTTATGCAGTGGAAATCAAAGTGTTTCCTGGGATATGTAAAATTAGTAGACAACCAAAAAAAACTTAAGTATTACATATTTGGCGCTTGTTTTCAACAGATGTATAGGGTGTAAGGAAATGTTCTGTATTAAAATATATTTAGAAAAAGTGTCCAGTTATTTTTGACACATATTTTTGTGACATCCATTATAATTTTTCATGTTTACATCAATTTATGTGATTTGCTTTGCTGTTTGTTTTTTTTTGCAAAATCAGGATTGTTACATTCATTACTAATGAATGAATAAATATAGAGCTAACTGCAAATACATATGAACATGAGGTGTCAGCTTGGAGTGGAGATGGACTGGTAAGGTTTTCCTGTAAAGCTGACCTGAAGCGCAGCTGTGCAGGGAGAGAGAGAAGTGTGTCGCCTGGGAGTTTTTTGACCTGTTACCCAGTATAGGAAGGTGGAGGCTGTCCCTGCTCTGCCACTCTGGCATCTTGACAGCTGCGAGCATGCTCAGATGCAGCAGGATGCTGGGTAGACTGCTGCTACTGCTGCGTCTGTGAAGGAAATGAGCCGCACCTCTGTGAAAACAGGCACAACATCCTTGGTAAACAGGCAGCTGAGGGGGCAGACCTGCTCAGCACCACGGCTGCTGCCCTGTCCAGCTCGAGGATGTGCTCAAGTGTATCGAGACACGCCCACTTCCACTGCCATTTACAGTACGTGCTGGGATTATTTTTAAACAATAGCATGCTCTAGTAACACTCCCACCCGTGCACGTGAGGGAATTCAGCTGTGTTTTCTGCTCTCAGTCCCACCTCACAGGGCTCTCAGTTTCACACGGTCAAAATAGGTGTCTCTCTTTTGCATTTTTAGATTACCAGTCACTTATTTTAAAAGCTCAGTTTCTTTTAAGTTATTCAGTATATAGTTTGTGTGAATGCGAGAAAAACATCTTTTTTCAATCTGGATGGCCGAAAGCTATGCTAAGCAAGAAATAGCCGGGCTAACAATTGTATCAGAGAAGCCCACTCAAGCCCCTGAAGCTGTCAGAAACTGTCATGCTGTTCAAAGACCTGGTGCAGGATCTCTGGCCCTGAGGAAACAATTTTATGATATCAATATTTTTATCTTCTCTTTCTGTTTTTTCCAATATCTTAGACAATGAGCAAAAAAATTAGATGATTACAATTTTTAAATGTATCACCACTGTTTCAGCAAAACTTTAGACCAAAAGCAGAGGTTGTTGACTGGGGAATTAATAGGTTTCTACATCCTTAAGTAATTGTGTACAAAGCCTATCCTGGAATTCACAAACCATAATCTGTTTTGAGGACAGTGCGGGAAAATGTTCATAATTTGCATGTTTTAATTCAGCATGTTGTCTGGGCTGAAATCCTAACAGTGTTTCACCCTGTTACTTGCTGTGTATATTATATATGCTGCATGAAAAAGGCCTCCAGCTGAACTGGAAAGGATGACATCATGTAAACGTTCCCAGGAGAGAGTGAGTTACTGGTGGTTCATATTATCCTTCAAAGAAACAGTCGAGTATGTAGTATATAGAATGCAAACAGCACTTTCAGGACCAATTTTTTAGATTAAGTGCCCCTGAGAACTGGCCTAGGATTCAAATCTTGTGACTTCTGTAACATACAGGTATTTATAGATACAGTAGTGCATTAATAAATAAAGTTTGACATGTGACAATTTCAAGTGATAATCACTTCCTTGACGTTTGACTACAGAAAATAAAAATATCCAGGAGCTATTACTGTGCATTCTGCATTAACATTGCAAACAGTAAAAATTACATAATTGTATGTCAAAGAACAGATGTATCATTATGCATGACTTCATTTTGACTAGGAAATAGAAAACAGTTCACCCTTAAATTTTTATTGATCCTTTGAGATTGTATATACAGTACAGTCTATAAGTAATGGAAATGGCATTTTATTTACATTGGTTGTAGTTTAAAAAAAGATTGTGTTTCTAAATGTGCTCATTCAGCATTGAAATACTTGGCACATTCATTTAACTCTTACAGTAGTTACATTTAAGAATTCGTTATTGGCTACGTGGCATCGGGCCTGTGCATTTAACCTGCTATCAGCTGTGGAGCACCGCTAAAAGCATGGCTCTGATCAATAAAAAGGTTACTGTGCTGAGGTGGCTGAAAACTTCAAAAGATTTGTTCCCTTTCTTTGGTGAGCTCCTTCTGTGTTCCAATATAGTGGTACTGTCATATTCCACCTAATACCTGAACAACCAGAGGACAAAAGTGTGTGTGGAAGTGCAGTT